AAGAGGTGGGCAAAGAGGAAAGTGTGTAACAATAAATGAATGGAAATTAAAAACAAAACAAACAAAAAAACATGGGAGAGTCTAAAGAGCATTGTGCAGAGTGAAATAATTCAGTCTTGAAAGGACAAATACTGCATAAGACTATTATTGTAAAAATAAAAGGATAACTGAGCAAGATATGTATAAATGTTCAAAAGGTGAAGGGGAAAGGGAGAAAGGGCAGAAAAGGGAGAAAGAGGAAAGTCCCTAGAATGCTGTTGTTCTGTTACATCAAGTCACTTGTGACTTACTGCAACACTATGTACAACAGCTCTGAACCCTGCTCTACCCCGAGACAAACTTATCATCTCCTATCCCATTACCTTAGTCACTGAATCATCCATATCATCAAGGATCTTCCTCTCTTACACTGTCCCTCTACTCTTCCAAGCATGATGTCCCTCTCCAAGGACTGGTCCCTACTTGCAACATGCCCAAAGTGTCAGATGAAGCTTCAGAATCCCTGCCTCCAAGGAGCAGCCTGCTTTCACCCTCTCTATGACAAACCTGTTTGTCCTCCTAGCCGTCCAATGTCTATTCAATACTCTTCTCCAGCACCGCAGTTCAAAGGCGTCAATTCTCCTTCTATCATCCCTAGTCATCATTCAGCTTTCTAAAACCTAGCAAGTAATTGTAAAGACCATGGCCTGGACCAGGCGCACATTAGTCTCTAGACTGACATCATTAGGATCAGTAGTTGGAAAACATGGACTTGGTGACAGAAATGAAGCTTGAAATAGAATGATAGAATTCTGTACCTTCAATGATTTCTTCATTGCAAATACTTTTTGCAATAAAAAACCATAAATGCAGACTATACACATGAATTTCACCTGATGGAATGCATAGGAATCAGATCAATCACATTTGTGGAAAGGATCACTGGAGAAGCTCAATATCAGCTGTGAAAACTAGGCCACGTGCTAATTGTGGAACAGACCATCAATTACTCATATGCAGGTTCAAGCTGAAGCTAAAGAAAATTAACTCAAATCCACAGGAGCCAAAGTTTGACCTTGCATCCATCCCACTTGAATTTCAGAATCATTTCAGGAACAGGTTTGAGGGCTTAAACACTAATGAGTGAAGACCAGATAAATTCTGGGAGGATATCAAGAATATCATCCATGAAGAAAACAAAAAGTTATTACAAAGACAGAGGAGGAAGAAAAGACCAAGGTGGATGTCAGATGAGACTGTGAATGTTACACTCGAGTGCCAAGAAGCCAAAGCAAAAGAAAGAAGTCAAGAAATTATGGAGCTGAACAGAAGATTTCAAAGGACTGTGCAGGAAGACAAAGCAAAGTATTATAATGAAATGTGCGAAGAGCTGGAGTCAGAAAATCAAAAGGGCCGAACTCACTCTGCATTTCTTAAACTGAAGGAACTGAAGAACAAATTCAAGCCTCGACCTGCAATACTTAAGGATGCTTTGGGCAGAATAATAAATGACTAAGGAAGCATTAAAATAAGATGGAAGGAGTATAAAGAGTCACTGTACCAAAAGGAATTGTCTTACACAGAATTTTTTTGAAACAGCATATGAGCAAGAGCCTGTGGTGATAAAGAAAGCAGTTCAAGCTGCCCTAAAGGAATTGACAAAAAACAAGGTGCCAAGAAATGACTGCATACCAATTGACATATTTCAGTGAACAGGTGCTCCCCTGGATATACTCACCCAGTTGTGCTAAGAAATCTGGAGGACAACAAGCTGACCAATTGACTGGAAGAGATCAAAAGTTGTTCCCATTCCAAAGAAATGTGACCCAACAGAGTGTGGATATTATAGAACAACATCCTTAATGTTACATGCAAACAAGATTCTGCTGAAAATTATGCAAAAATGACTGGAACAGCTCATCAACAGAGAACTGCCAGAAGTGCAGGCTGGGTTTAGAAGGGGTCGTGGTACTAGGGATATTGTAGCTGATGTTAGATGGATCTTGCTGAAAGCAGAGCATATCAGAGGAATGTCTGTGTTTCATTGACTACCCAAAGGTGTTTGACTGTGTGGATCACAACAAACTATGGCTACTCTGAGAAGAATGGGAATCCAAGAACACTTGATTGTGCTTATGCAAAACCTATACTTGGATCAGGAGGCAGTCATCAGAACAGAATAAGAAAACACTGCATGATTCAAAATTGCGAAGAATATATGCCAGGGATACATCCCACCTCCACACATTTTCAATTACTAGGATAGCAGAAGTTAAAGGGCAGACAGGAGTGTGAAAGAATAGGGAAGATTAGATGAGGACTTGAAAAGACTGGGTGATAGTTCAATTTGTAATTATATGAAATACAATGTACATGAATGATTGCATAAAACAAGTGAAGGAATGAAACAGTGTAAGTGAAAAATTGTCTTAAATACATAGTAAATTAAAATGATATTGAATACAATGTATATGAATGATTGTATGCAAACCAATAAAAATATGAGAAAAGTGCTGTTTCTAGGTTAACCAGAAATAGTTAAAAAAATCTAGGAAACTAAACCTCTAAAACCTATTAACAACTTCGTATTCCTAAGGCTCCTGTCTCAGATCTAATATTAAGCCTTCAGAGTGTCATTTGTATCAATGTGTTTATTGACTTTCGAACCTTATTTGTCCATTCTATTAATGAAATGTGTGTCCTTCAGGCTCCAAACATCTCATATCAGGCCCATGACTCTGCAAAGACACCATCTTATTCAAACTCAGCCTCCTAACCCCTATGCCTCTAAATCAACTTAACACAGTAGCCAGAATGTCACAGATTAAGTAAGAGCCAATATGGGTAAGATAACATCCAAATCCAGCATGAAGCAGCCAGAGTAGTCATCACACAAAACTATAGAAGATTTTTGAGGCTCAATTATCTCCTGGAGAGGGGAATGTTAGGGTCAGATCAGGTATTAATCAGACAGAAATACAGAACAGTACATGAATGGCATCAAAGGCAATGAACCCAAACTGCCCACTATAAAAAGCCTCACTCCACATTGAAAAAAGACTTTGGGGGCCATTGCCTCCCTACTTTATGGGAAAATGGTCTATTCAGGTCTTCGGGACATATTTTTCCAATAAAAGTATCTTTGTTTTCACTTTTTAAAAAAGATAATGTTTATTTTAGTGAGTAGTGTCTGGAATTGTAAATGTTTGTAAGAAGACATTTATTTGTATGTACTCATCTAGACCAAAAAAAGAAAGAAGGGAACCAAAGATTTCAAGAAGAAACCAGTCTCCAGAATTAATGGTTCTCAGAGACCACAGCCTCATCTATCCTGAGACCAGAAGGTCTAAATGGTGCCCAGCTACCACTGCCAACTATTCCGACAGGGGCACAACAGATGGTCCTGAGTATAACGGGAGAAAAGGGTAGAACAAACTCTGATTCTTTAAAAAATAGGGGGAGGGAGGAAGGGGGACATTATACTGACCATTCCAGTAAAGGCCAGAGGAGTTCCTAAACTACCTGTTTTAGGAGTCCCTAAACTACCATCCTGAAATATCCTTTAAACTTGGAACTGAACTCACTTTGTAAAGTCATTTTTCAACTAAATCATAAATTCTTCATAAAACAATATTACCCTGAGGACTACAAGCCTTTTAAATCTTCTACATTAAATTAAACATTCAATATGCAGCCTACAGCAAAGATAAGATGATAACAAGGAACAGGGAGGTTAGATTAACACAAACAGAACCACCTGGAAGAAACAAGAATGCTGCTACATTGTGAAAAAGAAAACCAATGGTCCTGAATAGTATGTGCAGAAATTGTAAAAAGAGAACCTAATTTGCTATGAAACTTTCAAGAAAAATACAATAACAAAATCAAAGAAGCAGCAGCAGAGTTCAACTAGTATAAAAAAAATCCTGCTAACAAAGGGATACAGGTGCTGGAAAGAAGTGAAGGAGAATTTCAATTAACAAAGAAAGAAGTAGAAGAAGGTATCAATCAGTAGCACGTTCATAGTTGCCCTGTATCAAGATGAAAGCAAGAGAAGCTCTAAGACTATACAGCTGAAAAAAGAGAATACTACGTTCCTTACAATTATTTTTAAAAATCTCAGCTGAGCACATGAACTACAGAAAAGAGGAGAAAGAAGACAGCAGGAATACCTGAGGGGTAGGTAGCTCAGAAGCCTGTAAATGTGACACAAGATAAAATTGAGGTCAAACGTATTATAAGCTTATGATTCTAGAGATTGAGTAGTTCAAAGAGGTTTTTAAGTATTTGCCAAGCATCTTTTTATGTTGCTTAAGAGGATTGTGTAAAACAATTTCTTTTCCTTACTGGGGGGTGATTATTATAGAAGTGGACAATCTAATATTTTCATTTGGTTGAAATTAATTACTTCTTAATACTTTACTTGCAAAGTCATTTGACATCATTCCTGAAGAGAAGATCTTGAAGCTTTCCTTTTACTCTTGTTATTATAACTTTCATTGTGATTTGAGTAAAAGCTTACAGGGCAAATTGGTTTCCATCCAACAGTTCATGCACATTTTGTTTTTCGAGTAAAATGTCTATCATTTTAAATAACAGCAACTGTAGCCATCTCTCAGGTAGGTTAACGTAACTGAAGTGTGGACTAGATATGAGATCTAGTCACTTCTTGGATCATAGGCAGAAGGAGTCTAGGAGGACTTGGGCTAGTACCTGAGGGGCTCAAATCCCACTGCAACTCAGAGGACCTCCCCTTGTCAGAATCTCATGGTTTCCAAAGGCTATAAATCTTATAACAAGGAAACTCCCACATCTTTCTTCGACGGATTACCTGGTGGGTTCCAACCGCTAGCCTTTTGGTTATCAGTCAAATGCTTAACTATTATAGTATGAAGACTTCGTTGTCACCCCTATACCGAGAGTATTTACCACCCTTGCAAAGGCTCTCGTCTCCTTTTCTCTATTCTCTCTCAGTTTTGCCCTATTTCTGTCCCTTTCTCTCCTTCCATCCAAATTCTCACCTTGTCATTCACGGAATCAAAATTTCTGTCCAAGGTAACAATGCGGAAACGCACTAGAAGGAAACAAGCATCATTAGGGAAAGGGACTTCTCCCCCTCTCAGACTCTCCTTTCCTTCCACCCAGCCGCTTCTTACACATTTCTGAGTTAGAAAAACCTCATCAGGCAAAACATACACTTAAGAACAAATTTTAAAAGCCCTACTTTGAGAGAAAGATAAAAGCCAAAAGGACATGTTCTCTCCAGGGCTCTTGACTTTGAAATCTCAGAATGAAGTGCTCCCACAAGAGAAGAGAGATGCACAACGAAAAGACAGAAACTCGGGCCAAACACCCATAATGCTCTCTTCTCCACATGCTAGCAGCTATATTTGCCAAATCCCACTCCTGAAGAAACGTGTACTTTTGTCTTAGAAATGCACACAGAATAGCGACTCCACCCACTATTCTTTCACTACTGTAACACTGGGCACATATTCAGCTCCTATAATCCATCATCTCTCCAGTCTTTTCTTCTGCACTGTTTCATTACTTCCCTAACCACAGACTTTAAATCCACAGATCTCCTGTCTAACCTCCCAGGCGAGCTTCTTACCTTTTTGCCCTGGGATGTAGACTGGTTTATCAGTCTGTACAAATGTGCCACTTCCCTGCCTCTGAATTAGAACCTCCTTTATTTCCTCAAAGTTAATGTTCTTTCCAACACCAGACACCCGTACTGTGGCCACTTCTTCTGTGCCACCAGCAGGAGGTGGTACCTACGGAAGAGAAGAAAACTCTGGGGATGAGTACCCAGGTTAGGGGGAAAGAGTCAACACTTCTCAAACCATCCACAGGAGAGGAAAATTAAAAACTGGAGCCACATGAGCCGAGCAAGGTGAAGTCATAGAACAACTGTCAGAAGAAAATAAACAAAGAAATTCTATTAGCATAGAATCTGTTTTGACTAGTTATAACCCCATGTATTGTAGAGTAGAACTGCTACATGGAGTTTTCTTGGCCATGATATTTATTTCAGCTGATTTCCAGGCCTTTATTCCACAGCACCACTGCGTGAGTTTGAAATCCCAACTTTTACATTAGTATTCCAGCACAACCTAATTATGCCATCCAGGGACCTTAATATCAGAAGGTATGATCAACAACTAAAAGTTGAAATCTAAGTTCAAGGAAATCATGAGTAAATTATGGCAAGGAATTGAAGCTAAGGTTAAGGAAGCCAAGTTTAGAGTCCACAGAAAAAATAAGACCACAGAAATTACATTTGAACTTTGATGATTGTGAATGCCTATGGAAGAGAATAGGAAAAGGAAGAAATTTGAATTGGGGAGAATCTGTTCCTACCAAAAAGGAGCTGCAGTGTAATTGCCTCTTCTTCAATCCAGAGTGTTCTAGCAACTTCTGGGTCTTGTCCTTGGTCTCCAGAGTAATGGTAAATTGTACACCATAGTACCCACGGCTCAGATCCAAGCAAACCTTCTGAGTGGAGGGGAAGTTCAGCTGTGCTGGTAATGTCACCAGGTAGTTTCTATTAAAAGACAAAAATTCTTTCAGGGGAGCAAGGACTCATTCATTCAATGAAAAACTAGATACTCTCCGATGCAACTGGCATATAGTAGTGTGTTCAGTAGTTCCAGGTCCTGCCCTTATGAATCTTACTGTTTTTAAGGGGAAAGAAGACAAAGAACAAGTAACTCAGTGAATAAACTTAAATCTCCTTCCACTGGGGACCCATGAGTAAGAACCTATAACTTGACTAAAAAGTTGTCACTGAGTCCATTCAAAACCATGGAGACCTATGTCTCTTAGAATAAGATTGTGCTCTATAAACAACAAAAACCACTACTGTAAAAATTAAAAAAAAAAAAATTTAAAACCCCACTACTGTCATATCAAACTCAATTGACTTTAATCGTATGTATAAAATTTCACCCCCCATAGAATTTCCAAGGCTACAAATTTTTTGTGGAATCAGACTGCTGCATCTTTCTTATGCTTTAGTCACTGCACCACTAGAGCACCTCAGAAAATTTTCAAATGGCTGATTTTAATAAAAATAGACCAGTAAGCTTCTTTCTGAAGCCACCTCTTGGTGGACTTGAACCTCTAACCTTTTGTACCACCCAGGCACTCCTGTGCCTCCTACTAATGCAAGGGTGTTGCTAAGTTTAAGTGTTAATTTAGAAAAAAAACAAAAACAAACACACCAAACTATAAAAAAAACAACAACAAAAAACCAACTTCCTCTTAGGACCCCAGGTTCTCTTTAAGTAAAGGAGCCCAGAAACCAAATGAAAAGATGAGAATGAAACTAAACCTCTTAAAATAACAAAAGCTCTCTTCACTCCTCCTTATTTGTTTGAAAAAGCAAAGAAGCTACCTCCTCTTAAAAAGAGTGATTCCAAGCACTTACGGGAGATAATTTCCTTCCATAACTGGCAACAGGGTCAACATTCCTAGAAAGAACTGAGCCCACATGTCTGCGGGTGAGCCAGCTTCCTCAGGAACAATACCAGGAGGTCTGCTCCCCTCACTGTAGCTTATGTACTAACCCCCAATTAGGGTGTGAAGCTATGATTGATGCACTAGCCAATCACTTATGGGGCTTCAAGCTAAAGTGGTAGAATAGGGTAGGGCTTTTGTTCACTTGTTCAAATTCTCTTCCTGGAAATATATACTGGTTTAGCCTGCCCGCCCATAAGACCAGTTTCGAGGAAAATCTAGGGCTGAGTATTCAGAACAGTAAACCTCCCAGAGCACGTTTTGGACGCCTCCCATTTTTCTGGTTTTACTTCTAATCCCCCATTCCTATTTGATGTCTTTTTGTCCTATTATTCTTTTCTGAGAATATAGGTATGGGAGCAGTCTCAAGAAAAAAAGGCATCAATCTCTGCCTTTTGGGGGATTTTAAGATTGTAATCCTATGCATTATTGTTGGTTTTGTATGGAAATAGAAATATATACAACCCTGGAGGATAAACTGGTCTTTTCTAAAGACAATTTCACAATATATACCAAAAGCCTTTATGAATGACATAGTCTTTGACCCAGCAACTCATATTCTGGAGATATATCTTAATTGGGGGAAGAGTTCTTGCATTTTTAAAAAAATTATCTACAGTGAGTTTCTGCGTATATTCTTCTTATGAAGATTTAGAAGCCATAAGAACATAAATTAGTGAGGATACTTTTTTTGGGCCAATGACCAACTGGAGTAAAACCAAGTGAATGAGAAATGGATTTTGGTAAGTAGGGTGGATCACAGACATGAACTTACTTGTACCTAGTCTTACTCATGATTCTTTCTATTACATCTACAAGGTACCCACAGGAAGATTAGAGGCAAGCTGGGAGCCTTCCTCAGAGATATAGGCATAGAAATAAGCATTATTGACCACTACAGGAAAATCTCCAGGTTTCCATATCCTTCTTTTAAAATATTTAAGTCTAAAGCAAGAGAAGTAAAATTGGGAAGGAGTAGGAAGAGGATGTAGAATGTATAGTTACTTGCCTCCATGAACAACTGCTTTATTTGCCATGAGACCAGAAGAACTAGATGGTGCCCAGCTACTGCTACTAATCATTTTTATTAAATATTCAAAGGAAGAATCTTGATCAACAAGAGAAAAGTGAAGAACATAGTTTCTAAATTCCATGGTATCCATATTTTCTGGTGCCGTGGAGGTTACGTAAGACACTGAAAAACACTGCCTTTAAACTGTAAACTAAAAGTACTTCCTCAAGTCTTTTAAAAACCAAACAGTAGTTTAAGATTAACTAGTAAATAATGTCAACCTTGAGCATTGTGCCCTTTCAAGATATATATAGGGTCCTATTGGCAACAGAAACTTAAAAGATCTTATAGGAAACTTAGGGAGTAACAAGTTTATATTAATGGAGAAGGAATAACTAAGAATAAGAGGATGAGAATGGTTATACAATTACAAGAATGTCAGCAGTGTTTTAGAATAGTATATTGATAAATTGTTGAATTGGGTATATTCTGCAGTGTATATTGTCAACAATAAAATTTAAAAAAAACAAACAAACATGCAAATAGTCCCTGACTGGAAATGGTATGCTGAATAGCACTTATGAGAAAGGTTTGTTGGGATTGGTTGGAGAGGGAGAGGGCTGTACATTTTATCTTTAGTAAACTGAGCTCACTCAGCACTTCTCAAGTTGAAAGAACTGAAAAATAAATTTAAGCCTCCAGTTGCAATACTGAGAGATGCTACAGGAATAATCTTAAATGATTAAAAAATATCAAAAGAGAATAGAATGGGGAGGAAAGAAGATGAAAGGAATGCACAGACTTACTCTATAAAAAAAGAATTGGTTGACACATGAAATATTTCAGGAAGTACTACTTGAAAAGAGGCAATGTTAACAAAGGAAGAAGTTCAAGCTGCACTAAAGGCATTGGCAAAGAATAAGCCCCAAGGAACCTATTCAACACAAATTGGCATGTTTCAATTGACAGAAGTATCCTTGGACATAACAGTCTACGCCAAAAAAAAAAAAAAGAAGGACAACTACTTGGGCAGCTGAGAAGAATAGATGCATATTTGTTCTGATTCACCTTTCTAGGTGATCCAACAGAATGTGGACATTATTGAGCAATCTCTTTAATATTACATGCAAGACAAACCTGCTGAAGATCATCCAAAAATGGGTTCAACAATACATTGAGAGAAAACTGCCAGATGTTCAAGCTGGATTTAAAAGAGACCATGGCACCAGGTATATTGTTGCTAGTATCAGATGGATCTTGGCTGAAAGAAGAGAATACTACAAGAGTGAGTATTTGTGTTTTATTGACTTCACAAAGACATTTGATTGTGTGGATTATAAGAAATTATGGTTCACCACAAGACAAAGGTAAACAATCCAGTTGAAAAATGGGCACAGGATAGGAACAGACACTTCACCAAACAAGATATTCAGATGGCAAACAAACACATGAAGAAATGTTCAAAATCCCTAGCTCTAAGAGAGATACAAATCAAAGCAACCATGAAATATCATCTAAAAAAAAATAAAAAGTAAAAGAAATATCATCTCACCCCAGTAAGAATAGAAAAATTTAACAGAACAGCAAACAACAAACACTGGTGAAGTTGTGAAGAAACTGGAACACTTATTCACTGTTGGTGGGAGTGTAAAATGGTGCAACCACTGTGGTCGGCAGTATGGTGCTTTCTCAAAAAGTTGCAAATAGAAATACTATTTGACCCAGGAATTCCACTACTAGGAATATACCTCAAAGAAACCAGAACTGCCACCCAAGCAGATATATGCATACTCATGTTTATTGCAGCTTTGTTCATAATGACAAAGTGTTGGAAACAACCTAGGCACCCATTAATAAATGAATGGATAGAGAAGATTTGATATATTCACACAATGGAATACTATGCTGCATTCAAAAACAAGGAACTCATGAAATATTATACAAAACAGGTGACCCTGAAGGACATTATGCTGAGTGAAATATCTCAGTCACAAAAGGATAAATACTGCATAGTTCCACTGTTGTAAAATGGAACTGACATCAGGGTTGGGGGAAGACTGAGAAACATGGTATAAATTATGCATACTGCATTGAAACAGATGAGAAAGAAAACTGTTTAAAGGGGAATATATGATTAGGTAATATTGTCATGACAGGAGTCCAGAATGAAGGCTGCATAGTGGAGTCGACATGGAGGAAAGGATTGTATAACAATGAAAGAATTTTTCTTTTACTTTTCAAAGAGAAGAGTGAACTGTGGGGGAGCGGGGACTGTTGGGCAGGGAGAAAAGTGCAACAATGAATGACTGGAAACCCAAAGTCTCTGTAAACTTCCATTAAAATTAATAATAATTTAAAAATTTAAAAATATGCCTGACATAGAGAAGAATGGGAGTCCCAGAACACTTAATTGTGTTCATATGAAATATATACCTAAACCAAGAAACTGTTGTCCAAACAGCAAGGGGACACTGCATGGTTTAAAATCAGGAAAAGTGTGTGTCAAAATTATGTCCTTTCTCCATACTTAATCAACAATCTGCATTATGCAGATGACACGCTTTTGGTTGCTGAAAATGAGGAGAACTTAAAATGCTTGCTGTAGAAGATCAAATATTACAGCCTTCATTATGGAATACATCTCAACATCAAGAAGACAAAAATCCTCATCACTGAACCAAAGAGCAACAACATCGTAATGTTGTTGTTGTTGTTGTTATGTGCCGTCAAGTTGCTTGCAACTCATAGCAACCCTGTGTACAACAGCCCTAAACCCTGCTCTATCCTGTGCCAGTCTTATCATCTCCGACATGCCTATCCCCATTATTCCAGTGAATGATCAGTCCATCTTACTGAGGGTCTTCCTCTGCTGCACTGTTCCTCAACCCTCCCAAGCATGATGTCCCACTACAAGGACTGATCCCACCTTGAAATATGTCCAAAGTATGTCAGATGGAGCTTCAGAATCCTTGCCTCCTAGGAGCAACCTGGCTTTACCCTCTCCAGGACGAACTTGTTTGTTCTCCTAGCAGTTCATGATATATTCAATACTCTTCTCTAGCATCAAAGCTCAAAGGCGTCAACTCTCCTTCTATGATCCCTAGTCATTGTCCAGCTCTCTGATGCATAGCAAGTAATTGCAAAGACCATGGCTTGGATCAGGTGCACCTTAGTCTCCAGACTGATATTGTTGCTCTTCAGTATTTTGGAGAGGTGTCTTACAGCTGAGTTTCCCAATGCATTCTTCTTTTAATTTCCTGGCTGTTGGTATCAAGAGTATTGATTGTAGAGCCAAGCAAACTGAAGCTGTCAACAATCTCAATCTCTTCATCATCTATCATGATGCTGCCAATCTGTCCTGTGGTGAGAATCTTTGTTTTCTTGATGATGAGCTTCAATCCATATTGAAGGCTGCAGTCCTTGACCTTATGCAGCAAGCACATCAGGTCCTCCTCAGTTTAAGCAAGTGGGGTTGTGATAGGTGGAGAAAAGATTAAAACTATCAATAATTTTATCTTATTGGATCCACAATCAATACACTTGGTACTAGCAGTGGAAATGTATTGCACTGGGCAAGTCTGCCGTCCGACTTCAAACTACTGGGAAACAATGATGTCTGTTTGAAGACTAAGGTCTGTCTGATTCAGGCCATGGTCTTTTCAGTCACTTGCTCTGCATCTAAAAGCTGAGAATGAATAAGGATGACAGAAGAAGAATTTATGTATTTGAGTTACATAGTTGGAGAAGAATACTGAATATCCCATGAACTGCCAAAATAGCAAACAGCTATGTCTTGAGGAAAGGGCAGCTAGAATGTTCCTTTTACACATTATCAAAACAGAAGCCTGTCATAAATTAGGGGTTCATTAATTCATTCATTCTCTCTCTCTCTGTTTCTTTCCCTCCTTACTCCCTTTGAGAGAGAGAGAGGGAGTGTGTGTGTGTGTGTGTGTGTGTGTGTGTG